GAAAACAGGCTGAAACTCTGGACAGCCCTCTGGTATAGCAAATAATGCGTATGAGACTCTCTGAAGCATTTAAAAAGTTTCTGTTTCTATATCTCTGCTAAACAACTGTAAATTTACACCGAGCCTCAGAGACCTAATCAAAAAACTCTTGTCAAAATACCACCTAGGCTATAGTTTAAACTAGTCCTGAAAAATACTGTTCTGGCTTTTCCTCTCATGATCCTGGACTGGCATTGCTTTAATGAGGTGTAGTAGAGAGATGCTTCTTCCTATGCCCTAAGTCAATTAGAGTGGATAAAACTTAAGGCCATGATACTGCATTGAGCCGTGTGGACAGACAGGGCCTAAACCACTTACTCAGTTTGGCATCTTATCCAGCATAGGCCGCCCGGGACCCAAGCCATCAATACCTTTGAGCAACAAGGTTCCTGATTATTCACTAGGATGCTCACGCAGCAGTGAAGGGCTTAAGTTAAACTTTTATCCCATTTTCCCCACACAGGTGATTGTCTGTGTGAAAACCAGACATGTCAACCAAAATTCAATGAGTAAGGCCCTGATCCTGCACTGGAACCGTGGGAGTGGACTCCTGCCCTCACCTGCTACAAGGGTGCAGGGTGCTGCTCAAACAGAGTGAACACCCGGGGTCTGTGCAAACAGCTCCCAGTGCAGACTGGGGCTTTTGTTATGAAGGATGGACTTTTGAAAAGTGCCAAGTGATTTAGGAGCTTCAGTCCCATAGAAAAACAATGGGACTTGTTGTCCTACATTGTTTAAACCCAGATTCTGAAAGGTTTTTCAGGTACCCTTAGCCACTTTTGAATCCCACCCTAAATGATCACACTTAACAAGACACAATTGGGTCCTCTAAATAGTCCACCCTGCAAATTCAGACCTCTTGTGATTGACCATCTGAATTTGAGGAGGGGGCCCAGTTAGCCCCGGCATATGCAGCTCTGAAACAATTACAAGAAAACTCCACCTATTGCAGAATCATCTGAAAAAAACCCCAACTCTTCAAATGTGAAAAGTCAAATTCCCTGCCATCTGAGATAAGTTAGCGATTGATTATGCCATGACCGCAGGGGAGGAGGAGTACATTTAAAACTAAAATTGGGGAAATGGCAGAGAGGAAGGATTATTGAATCTGTGTTAAACTCCTTTCTAGTTAATTCACCAGTCCCAATTCATTTGAACATCCTTAAAACCTGATTCTGAAGTAATAGAATACAATTCCAAATGAAAGTGAAAGGGAATGCAGGCTATTTTATACTAAAGAAACAACATAGTGATGTGAGGACTAGATGCTCTCTCTGAATTATGCCTTGTGAACACATACATATTTACAAGCCAGATGTCTTATTTTATGCCCCTTAGGAAACTGGCTTGTTCTGAGGTGTACCATATCCTAGGGACTCGTCATTATGTTAGGGTGTAAGCAAAGTCATCAGCAGGTGTTGTGCTGGAAAAGAGAGCGTGTTTCTGACCCCAGGGTGCATGACTAGGTGATGGGTTCCAGGAGGAGCAAATATCTCTGTGCCTGATCGGCCGCCTTTCAATCCACATCCATCCTCACCCTGTTCTCCTGCTGTATCGCACCTCTCCCTGGGGCATGCTGGGAAGTTAGTCCAGCATTAGCAAAGAACTAGGATGGAGGCGGTGGCGAGAGAGCGGGGATTTTAATAAAGGGGGGGGGACACACTGGAGTGCTGTAGAGACTGACTGCTCTTTAGTGTTTCTGACCCATCAGGGTTACAAACGGTTAATAATAATCAGCTGGCAGGGCTCAGTGTGCACTGCTTGCTCTTACAAGGCTGACAGCCGAGAGGTGGGTAGAGATCACTGGCCTGCTAGACAGGTGATGTTCTGGATCTCCGCCTAGGCGCCTGCCAGGGGGTGGGGGCAGCTTTCCAGCAGGGGGAAAGGAGCGAAGGAGGGGAAAGGGGGGTTGGGAGAGAATGTTGCTTTTCTTTCTAGCCTCTCGCAGCTGAGTGCTTATGCATATTTGTGCTGCGAGGGTTAAAAGTCATGGGAGAGGCAGAGTGCAGCTTGCCACCAAAGAGAATCTATGCGCACCAGAGACTGAGCCCTGCCCAGCACGCATGCTTGCTTAGCCTGCTCGGCAATATGTCTGCAATATGCTGAATTTAACTAAACAGAAAAATAGGATTTTTTTGATTTTTTTTTTAGGCTCCATCTCCGGAGGCCTGTGGGATTCTACCTACAGGAGCAAGAAGGCCAGCATCTAAAAATAAACAGCAGCATCTTGAGTTTTTAAAGTGAAAATGTCTGGCTTCGTAACGGAATACAGCACCTCCTGTCTTTGGGAACTTCTTTGGAGGAATGGGTTGCTGCTGTTCCAGCCCGAGAGAGAATTCCTTAGGAAGGTTGCTGGAGGCTATTAGTTCAAAAACACACGCGGAAGACCGCAGCAGTGATCCCGGGCGCTAAACGGGACAAACTCTCACTGTAGACCTATGAATCCTAAGCAGTAGGTCATTGCCAGATACCAGGGTGATGGTCACCATAGAAGAACCTAAGAAGAAAGATGCATGCTGGGGAGACACAACCCATATAGACAGGCACAAATATAAAGCTTCTGGAAGACTGGATGGGCTGCCTGTAGATAGGCAGTACAAGTTATTTGCAAAAGGGCAGAGGGCTATGGATTATAAACTAAGTGTTGGATAACCAGGACTCTGCAAGGAACATAGTGGTAATTTGTTCGCTAGAGGATGCCAAGACCAAAGCGATTTTCACTTGCTTTGATAAATGGATTCCTGAAATTTAGCAACTCAACAATGGCACTCCTCAGTGTGCAAATGAAAGGGAGAGACATGATTTCTCAGTCAATAAAGCCACAGCATAACTGATTGTACAGAAATATGGTGCATGCAGATAGTCCTAGCCATACAAAACTAACCCCAAATCTGCTGCATCTTTCAGCTTTGGCCCTGCAAATCTCCCTACCTGGAGTACCACCGTATCAACCATTTCTAGCAATCATGAATGAGTTAGGTCCAATTGGGAGCCAGCTGTGCTAGGTGCTGGGGAGGTGCCAATGGTGGGTGGGAAAGGGGCTACTCGGTAGCACATCTCCCAAACTGTCTCTGCCCTGCCTACTCCCCCACCCTTTAATGGAGGATCCTTTAGGGCAACTATGGGCTCTGACCTCAGCGCTGGGGCTTGGGCAGTGCATGGCTGGGACCTCAAATGTTTGTCTGTTTGTTTTTACTTACAAGAACATGCAGATTTCTGCTGTGAGGCCAAAACTAAGGGCAGGAAAGCCACGTCTATTCCCCATCAGCACCCAGGGGTTCCCAGCCCACCAGGAGCTGGTGGGGGAGGTGGAGAAAGTAATGGCATCTTGGCCTTGCCAGCAGGGAGGGGAGGGAGACAGGGACATAAGAGGGAATGGATGCACGTGGGGGGAGTAGGGATTCCTCCAGATTCCCTGTTCCTCCAGCCATTCTTCCTTGTAGCTCCTATGGGACTCACAGGTCATTCTCCGGCTTCCTTTTAGGTCAGTCTTCCCACAGTGGCTTAGGCCCTGTGCTTGGACACCAGCTCCTCCCTCCCACTGAAGGGTGTCCCAGGAAAGGCTGTTACAATGTTTGAGACCTTGGGGTCCTAGTATGTTGTTAGTAGCTGATATAGAAGGATATTGCCTCTAACACACGGGAAGGTGGGGGCCTGAGCTCATTTGCTTTAATTACCTGTGTGGCCGGATGGTAAAGAGCCAGAGAGTCACTGCTCCAGGGCATACTGCGTAGCTGTGACGGGTGGACTTTTCTCCCTGCTAGGGAGGAGACCCTATTACTGGAATCTACATGTAACCCACACACCTCCTGGGTGTGGTGCTCTGTCCCCCTTCAGTGTCACCGAGACCCCTTGGAGAGTAATGAGTCTGTAGAGCCTTAGCTTAGAGGCTGCTGGCTGTTAGCTCATGCAGTAGCGTCTAGTGCATTTAGCTGCAAGAGGTCTCAGGTTCAATCCCGCCCGCCAATGATCGGGGTCTGTTGGTGTTACGTACACAGACACCCCAACAGTATTGCTAGGCCCCAAAAAAATCCTGTGTCAGACACTTCGGAAGGCTATATTACGTTCTGATTTTCCTCGACTTGCCTTCTGGCATTTGACCCTACAGGGTTCACATTTTTCAAGCTTCTCTCCACCACTATGTGGCCTGGGAACTACTATTGTTTTGTTTCGTTTTTTTAAATGAAAGCCAAGATTCTCCTGTAATTTCAGGACTCCCCGAGCTGGGTCTTAAGGAAAACACCAGACATGACAAGAGCTGAGATAAAATCGTGAGCGTAAGCCACAGTGCTACAAGATATCAAAAGCTGTGAGCAGAAGAATGAACAAAGAGCAGAATGAGAGAGAACAGTAGACGTTAAGGCAAATTTTGCCTTTCCTTATTCGTTTATTCGAGTTGCCCATTTAGACTCTTCACTTTGTTCTAATTAATTAACAAACTACTGATCGTCATTCATTTCTCAAAACATATTTATTTTGCTTCACTACATTTATTTGCACAGTACTACTGTTGTGTACATAGATTATTCTTTAATGAAGTTCAAAACACCCTCCCACAGCATGCATTACTCTTCCAAACACAAAAAATACAATGTGCTGTATGTGAGCTCCTGACTTAAACTAATCTAATTCAGTTTCACTCTGCTTGATTACTCTTTATGTGCTTTTTGGCATATTATTTTTACTCATTATTTTGACTATTTTTAATTACTTGTTTTCATAACATATTTACAGTAATATTCACAACTCTGTTTAACAGAGTTTGGATTACCTAATTAAAATGTATTGGTTTATTTTTGCAATAACATTTTTTTTAAAACATAATTTTTATTACCTGCATATCTTAAAGCAAAGATGGGCCCAGCACAGTACCTCCAAATCAGAACTCCTTCAAATTTTGGGGTGCTGGGGTAGAGATAAGGGTGGAGGGTTGTATTTGAATACCTGGATCTGAGCCCACACCTCCAACTTGGGGTCTGTATTGGATCAATAACTGGAATGAGGTCTATTTTCTAGTTCAGAGGTGGCTAGAATCTTGCAAGTCACGGCAGGATATCACAGTCCGAGATGGTGGAAATTTCCTGAGATCAGCTGATATTGTGAATTTTCCACTTCTTTGGGCTATGAGATTTCAGTGCAGTTGATTTGAATCCTAGCCCTCATTTGACCTTCAACCCTAGCTGACAGGGCCAATAGCAATCAGCCTGAAAAGCCCCCACCTTGGGAATAAAAGGCTTTAAGATGCTTTTTTTTAAATTAAGAGATGGAATGAGGTTGATATAAGGGGGGGTGGGATCAAGTCATATGCCCTATAACACAACCCACTGAAGGTCCTGTCACCTGCCTCAATCCTGTAATCAGCTCCCCGTACGCAGGTGACTGCAACTACCCTATAACAGAGTCGGCAACCTTAGGGATGCAGGATATCTATACTGACCCATCCTGCATAAAGAGGCTGGGTAGGGATTTCTGAATCACTATAGCAGATGTCCCTTGTAAATTCCAAGCAGGTTGAATAGATTTCAGACTCAAGGGGAGCACGAAGCCACACCAGGGATGGGAGTGCCAGCAGACGAGCCGTCAAATCTGGGGAGAAAAATCAGGGCTGGGATTATATCCTGTTATTGCTATTTGAGTCACCACTAAAGCAAAAGCCCAGGAAGGATGCAAGTTGGGGCTCTGTGCAGTGTGCACGGGCAGGATGGGAGCACCACGTTCTGACAGATCACATTTGGTCACAGATGCACTAGCCAGTTAGATCTGGGCAGCTGCCCTGTGGGAGACTGGCAGTAATAGCATCTGATCCTTAGTTAAGTGTGGAGGTGGCTGCTGCCAGACACTTTAAAAGCGGAAATAAAGCCAAGTTATTTATCTCATTTTATTTACAGTAATAAGGTGCCTGCTGGACATCTTCTAAGTGCAGTCTGATAAAATCAATACAGAGCATTAGAATCAGAAATAAAGCTCGACCAAGCCGAATAGGCTACCAACCAGAACTGAAGGGTCTGGTACCAGGGCAAACACAATAGCTCTCAAGCAAACCAACCCACCAGAACAAAACAGGGACAATTCCCAGGTTATGTGGGGCCCAGTCCTGTCTAGTTTATATTCAGTCTGTACTGAACCAAACTACCCTTGAAATCATGACTCAACTGAAGTCTTCAAGGGGGAATTTGTTTCTGTGAAGGCTGAGATGGGACCTCAGGTTTTGCCCCACCAAAATAGGGAAGAAAAGGCACCGGCACATTTACATAAAGGGTTAAAACAAAAGAGGGGCTCCCCAAAATGGTCACTGATCAGGCTGGTGAAATAAATGGCCCTTATGCGCTGCCCTAAAAGAGGGCTCTGGCAGATTTAGTTGGGGATTGGTCCTGCTTTGAGCAGGGGGTTGGACTAGATACCTCCTGCGGTCCCTTCCAACCCTGAGATTCTATGACCTCGGGAGCGTTCCACAGCTGAGAAAGCTGTGCTCATGGTCTGATGCTGGATGAATGCAGGGACCAAGCACTGACCCACTGTGACTGTAACTGCAGAGCAGGGATAGAGAGGGAGCTTATAAAGCTCCAGGGTGAAATCTTGGCCCACTTGAAGGCAAAGGGAGTTTTATCATTGGCTTCAATGGGCCAGGATTTCACCCCCAGTTTGCAATATGCTAATACTATCCGTGGTCCAATGAGTGAAGGGAGATGCTTTCCTTCAGGTTTAAGCCATAGAGACACGGTGTTTAAGTGTATGTGACTGGAAATTTTCTCTGTGGTACAGATATTCTGATTCCGAGACAATGGTTAATGGGCAAAGCTTAAGAGTGGCTAGAAAAGCTGTTATCTGGATCACTGATCCACGTTAGTCCAGTTTGTGAGCAATGATTTATATGATCATGTACCAAGACATCTGTTTAAAACAAAAAAAGACAAAACTGAGTTTCCCGTGGGGCTGATTTTCATCTAGTTTAACTGAACTGTAAATGAGCGATCAAAGGGTACGTCTATACTTACCTCCGGATCCGGCAGTAAGCAATCTTGTCTAGACGTGATAAATCGATCCCGGATCGATCCCGGAAGTGCTCGCCGTCGACACCGGTACTCCTGCTCGGTGAGAGGAGTACGCGGAGTCGACGGGGGAGCCTGCCTGCCGCATGTGGACCCACGGTAACTTCGAACTAAGATAGTTCGACTTCAGCTACGTGAATAACGTAGCTGAAGTTGCGTATCTTAGTTCGAAGTGGGGGGTTAGTGTGGACCAGCCCAAAGATAGCTTACCCATTAGTGGGAATTACTGCAATCAGCTACCCCTATACTTCACTGGATATCTTCTCGACAATCTCCTGATCGCTACAAATTGTTGGTAAGTGCCGCATTAAACTAGCTATCATCAGTCTTGGCTCTTACTACAGTAACTCAAACAGATGTCATTGCAGCAATGGTGAGAAGATACTAAGCTTCGGTTTTAACTGAAGACTGTACCAAATTGTAACAATAATATAAAAGTGAAAACATATTGACTAGAACTGATTGACATTTTTTGTTTGAAACTTTTTAAAATGACCTTTTATCTAAAATGAAGACTTTCACAAAAAATGTTCTGGTTTTGATTATAAAAAAAATCTTTTCTTTTATCAAACCAGAAATCTTGAATTATCTGCTTTTCCCCCTTTTCCCATCTCTTTTCATCTTTCTTTTATTCTTTTCTGCCATTAAATGCAATAGAATAAATGATGTTTAGAGTTGATTTGCTTTTTCACATTTTCCTCTCTTTTCCCCCCCATTTTTCTTGTTGCTACTCTGTAACTTATCAAAACTTCCCTCAATTCTGGAAAAGTTACAGATTGGCAAATGTCAGAATGACACTCTGTCACTGTACTAAAGTTAGCATAAGAAAAGGTCAAATTAAAAGACAACCACCACCACCCCTGGCCATCATACACGTTATTACATTCAGTCGGGAAAAGGAGAGGGGGAGGGGAGGAAGGAGAAACTGGGATAAATGGAGGAAAAATAAAAATTACAAATAATAAAAAAAAAGAAATACAATCAAAGAAGTTCAAACAATGGAAAATTATTCTATTTCAAATCCTGTGAACTGGAAACAATGTCATGTTTTTCAAAATAGTCTCTTCCATTTTTCAACCAACGCTAGGATTGACATATGGACCTTTCTCTAGGCCTTCCAAAAGCTGCATATGACAATTTGTGGGTTGCTTAAACTTTTGATGCTAACAATACAGTTCTCATTTCACATGCTACAAACCTGGTCACTGTTCTTCCTTTCCTTCCAGCTGACCCACTGTCACACTTCCAACTCTGAAACTGGGTCAGAGATTACTTTGGCTATGATTCAGATGGCTAGGGCACTGTAATCCTCGGCACCCTCAGATGTGACACCAGTAAACTCTTTAGTTCTTTTTCTTTATAACAACTTGTCTATTAACAACTCATTCAATGGAGAAGGAGGAAGAAGCTAGAGAGCGGTCTTTGGTATTGTTCCATAATAACCCTCGTTTTCTTGGAGTGGCAGCCAATACTCACTAGACATTGTTTGTCAGGACATGTTGTTTTGCTGGATAATATCCCAGTGTAATAGCTTTGGTCTACACTAATGCCTTGTAACAATGGACTGGGGAAACGAGTCTTCCCTGTGCCATAGCAAAGACAGAAAAAATGGTGTATCAAATGCATGAGCACACAGATGTGAATATCTTCTGACCTGGTGTAAACCAAATCCAAGACGTTCACGAGCTTGAAAGAATCAGAGCAAGAGGAGTTCCTCCCTGCTCTACATAATAGTTCCAAATCGGCAATTGAAACTACTATGCGCGTTGGTGCTAATGTGAATGCAGGAGATCAGAGAATTTTGGAATCGCTGAGGTTTGTGATGTAATTTTCCCACTACTCATGTATCGTAGTCCAAGACTAGCCTACCTGCTAAAAAGAGCCCCCCTGTGAATCCCAAAGAGAAATGGACCAAGGCTAGTTACAACCTCCCACCACCATCAGAGGCTGCCCACACTTACAGGAACTGGACAAATGATTAATATGTTAATCAGGCTGAAGGATAATTGAGAATAGCTGGTATCCCTGCTGCTGAGCAATGTGCAATGCCAAAAGCCTGCTCAGACAAGGTTGTTCTTCTCCCTTTGTTTTGCTGTGATAACGCGGGCTAGTGACGTGCCAGGAAGCTGTAGGGTGACCAGGTGTCCTGATTTTATAGGGACAGTCCCGATTTTGGGGTCTTTTTCTTATATAGGCTCCTATTACCCCCCTCCCAATTTTTCACACTTGCTGTCTGGTCACCTTAGGAAACTTCCACACCCTGAAGGTTTCTAAATTATATTCTAAATCTCAGACATTTTCTTAACTCGGGGCTGTTTCCCTCGCTTGTCTTACCCTTCCTCGAGGAGCTGTCCAGGAAGCCAGCAAGTTCACTAGGGCTTAAGAGAAAGAGCCTTGTCTGATACACAAATCTCCCCCCCAGCCC